GTTTTTACTTAATTATGCGAATATCACGATTTAAAAATTTTAAATGAAATGGAACAATAATTTTGGAAGTCACTGTAACTCTCCCACTCGTTACGTGCATGATGGATAGTCTAAAATATAAATTGGCGAAAGGATTCGACGGAGTATAATGATTTTAATAGCTCTCCAGCTGCGAGAAAGCTCCGGACAAGACATTGACAAGCGAAATGCGAAGTAAAAAATAAAGACTGCAGAAATTTACCGCAGTCATTAGCATAGAAATATTATTTATTATGGCTACAAGCCTGTGACCCAAAATTTTGTATTTATTCAATGTATTGCAAATAAAAAATTGTGTCGCTTCGCTCATGTATGCTTTCTTTTTTTTCGAATCAATATCTACCTCAGTAAGTGCTTCGCATTTTATTAATCGTATTTCAATCGGGATATTTACTAATCTTGATCATGAATACATAGGTATTCGAAAAAAATTAGAATTATTGTGAATCCTATAAATTTTAGTTAATATATAATGTGAAGCTTCTTAATGTATATCACATGAGATTGTGGCAGATTCTCTCTTAATTGATGGCGTGAAAAGTCTTCAAAGTTCATCCCTTACAACGGAAATTTAGGCCATAGAGTGACTTCCGACCTTTTTCCAGAAAAGCTTGCTTTACCGATTTACGTTTCACGAATAAATTGTCACATGACAAAAGATAATCGCAACTATGATGATTAAAAAAATAGAGATTTATTTTTTTATTTTGCTTCATATCTCAATGATACAGATGATTAAAAGATTAGTTTCAGTAAATGGAAATAACATTAATCAAGCTAAACAAGAATTGAAATGGCTCACACAGCATGTATTACAACAAACAAGGAAACCCTTATCAGAAATTTCTTTAATTGAGAAAATAAATTTGAATGTTTTTGAAAAAAGGTTATTAAACGAATTAATTAATGAAAGAGTTGAAAAATCAAAACCTTTACAATATATACTTGGTACGCAACCATTTTGTGATTTGGAAATCATTACTAAACCACCCGTGTTGATTCCAAGATGGGAAACGGAAGAATGGACAAGTAAAATCATTTCAATGCTTATACCATTTCTTCGACTGCGAAAAGAAATGACAAAGTTCGAAATTTTGGATATATGTACAGGATCAGGGTGTATCGCATTATCACTTTCGCATTATCTTCCAACAAATTCAAGCAACATACATGGCATAGATATATCACCTAATGCACTCTCCTTGGCTAAATTAAATCATCACATATTTAACTCAAAAAATCGATTAAAAAATTCGGTAAAATTCTCTAAATTGGATATTTTGAAGGCAACTCGAAATGAACTTGATTTATTCATTAAAAATTCGACGGAAATTGGAAAAGGTTTCGATTTAATATTATCTAATCCACCTTATGTTACTCACGAAGAATATAAAACATTGCAAGATGATGTTAAATTGTGGGAAGATAAAATTGCCTTGGTTGCCGAAGAAGGTGGTACCGCGTTCCATAAACGTATCGCTCACCTTGCAAAAGATAACGGGTTATTGTATGATACGAAAAGTGATTTGCCGCAGTTAATTATGGAAATTGGTGGAAGTCACCAAGTTAGTGATGTAGTTAATAATTTAAAGAATTGTGGTTTTAGCCATGTAGAAATTTGGAAAGACGTTGCGAACAAAGATCGATGTGTTGTTGCTAAAAGAACTTAATTATTTTTACACTTATTTTCCCACGTGATTTTTGTAATTTTATGTACATGTAACTCTTTTATTGGTGATAACTTTCTTTGAAATTTACGCGTTTTGTATTTATCTTTCAAATTAAATTAAATAATTAAAAAATTATCCATTATTTTTTGTATTTATTCAAGTTTTCCAACAGCTAAAACGTATAAATATTTTACTTCTTTAAGTAATCCCTTTCAACGGTCATACTTTATCTTTAATTTCATTAGTTGATTCTTAGATATTTTGAATGATGAGTACCGAAATATTATGTGTTTTTACTACGTAAAAAAAGAAATCTTTTGATGGATTTCTGTTCTGTTGTCGAGAAGTCTTGGTTGAATCGTTGCTGTCGTTGCTGTGAGAAATTTATAAACATTAGCAAAAGTAGGTCATTTTTAACATATGATTTCCGATACTTTATATTGGATTCAACTCCATGGACGCATGAAGAGGTGCTCTGACTATAGTTTTGCAAATTCTAAAATCTATATATGAAATAAAGTTGTTACAATGTGTAGGCTACGCAGAGATAGCAAATAGGATCTTACTGAATGTTAGAATAATATATGACTTACTATTAATATATGTATAATTTTAACAGTTTACCTCTTTATCCTTTATACTAACTGGCATATCCATAAACTATCTTAATAAATTAGTAATATACTTAGAATTATCTTATTGTAAAATTAGATAGTATATCACTTTTTCATCTATGTGTATTATTTGCTGAATTATTTATACTTTTAAACTCGCTACTAAGATCTAAAAAGGATAGAAATTATTAAATTATTTATATTATAATGTAAGTACTTTAAAGATAAAAATTATTCATCTGATTTTTTAATTTCTTTTTCTAAGTTTTCAAAATAAGCACATCTTTTATATTAGTAGTAAAAGATTAAACAATAGCTGATCATATATTTAAGCTGGTTATTTTTTACTAATACCTATTTTTTACTAATAGATCATACTTAATCCACTTATTATTTTCGTTATCATAATCATTATTATTATCCCTCTCATTATTTGAAGTTGGAGACATGTATTGAAGATTTATAGATTTAAAAAGAATAATATATAACTAATTAAAATTAGATTGTACTTTATTAGAATAATTACATTGACTATAACCAGTTTTTTCACAAATACTATATTTATGTATATTTAATTTTTTGAAATTGATTAATTAATTAATTAATAATATCTTTAGATTTATTAAGTCCTTTTTATATTCTATCTATTTTAATAAAGATATTATTTTATTATAGACAAGATCTTTAAAAAAGTTTTATAAAATATCTGAATCCAAATCTTCTTTAGTAAGAAAACCTATTTTTTTTTAAAAATTTGACTAAATAATAATTTTTATGATTTTTTTTTGATTGCAATGATATAGTAGATCTTTTTTAACTATCTAATTAGTTTAATAGTTTATGGAATTGATATCTGTGCTTTTTGTACTTTTTAAAATTAGAATTTTTTTCTTAATTTTTCCATTTAACATCAAAATTGAGCTTGTATTTTACTAATATCTTATCAATTATTTATTATATATCTGATATATAAATATCAATTATAAAATTATAAAAGATTCTATTATTTTAGAATTATAGAAAGATTGTTGAAAAACTTGACCTTCATTTAAATTTAATATACTTTTTAATTATATATTTTTTATTTTAGTAAAATTTATTAATACTTACTAGATTAACAATTTTTATTTATATATAAAAATTACCTGTTAAATAACTTTTAAGAAATCTAAAACTTGTATACAGTCAACTCTTGATATAGCGAACTCTTGATATAACGAATTTTTTGAACAAATATAATAAAAATACTCTTGTTATAGTGAATTAACCAATCAAATCTCTTAAACTCTTCACTATAGCCTTATAGCGAAGTTGAGGTCTAGGATATAGAGTTCGTTATAACAAGAGTTGACTGTATTATTATTTGCTATTTCTAATAATTATAGTCAAATTTTAATTTATAAGTATCAGAAGTATTATAGAGTTGATATTTTTTTAAATCAATCTTTAAATAGCTGATTATTGATTTTTAATTATCTTTTACTAATATTTTATTTCAATTTTTTTGGTATCTTTAATTTAAACTTATTTCATATATTATTATGATAAATAATATTTTTCTTGATTTATTAATTTGTTTGTGTTAATCATTTGTTTACTAATTTTGTAAATCTTTTATGTAACACTAATTATTTGCAGATCATTTGATATACTATATATTTTAATTAGACTGAACTAATTTGATTATCTGTTTTACATTAGTTGTTTATAAAAATTCAGGAGAAGGGGGAGGTTGAATAAAAAAAAATTTTATGAAACCACATAACTTTTATATATAAGTCACATGCAACCAATTTATTATTATTATTATTATTATTATTGTATAATGAAAAAAAACTAATCAATATGATTGACCTTTTGCTTTTTCCTACTATTAACCTTATTTTCCAACTATTTATAAAATGTTTTCCCATTTTCATTACAACTACTACATAATGGATATACTAACTTAAAATTTTCTTGTAAATTTTGAGACACAGTTACAAAATCATTATTCACATCACACTAATAGCAGATAGGAATATTTTCTGCTTTTTTTGAGATATAATAAAGCAATTCAATAGGTAAATCACATGAAATTTGAACTTTAACAAAAACCTTTTATGCTAAACTATAATCATCCGAAAAAATTGAAGATCTATAGAAATATGTGTAAGTTTGTAGTGCAGATTCTAAATCTTATTTTTCTTGTTCTGTTAATTTTAATTTACTATAAAGGCATCGTATTTTTTCACATAACTTACATTTTATATAACCTCTGATTTTGGCAGAAATGAAGATATTACTTAGTGCTAGTTTAGCTTTAAAATTTAAATTAATTAAAAAAGAACAGAATTTTTCTGTTATAAGTTTGTCATATAAATTTGCAAATATTTCATAACAATTAGGATTATCTATTTAAAAAGTAATATTTAATAATATTTTAGTAATATTTTATTGTTAAATATAAAATATCACAAAGAATACCTCATAATGATACTAGATCAGGCAAAAAATATAAATTCTGAAAGACATTGATTGGCATTTTAATGGGATAACAAACTTCACAAGAAGGTTGATTATATTTTTTAATCTAAAAAATCTGAAAATATAAATATTTAAAATAAAACATTTTATATAAAGTAATTTATTACCTGAAATGAATATGTTCTTTCTTGACAATAAGTTTTAATAAATTCTACTAGAGGCTTATATTTTCACAATTATTATTAAATAGTTTCATCTTTAGTCAATGTAGAATTAATTCGCAATATGTTCTTAGTTTATATAATAAATAAATTAAAAATTATTAAAATAAAATATAAAATATCAACCTGATTTAATTTATAAAAAAAAAATATTACCTTAAACATCTCGTTAATTTCCAAATTAGATGTAAGATTTTCCATTTCAAATGCTTCATTTTTCTAAACCAAATGTTCTGTACGTTCACACAAAGCAATTTTTGAACTGTTACAATACATTTTTCTAATTCTGATTTTAAGTATGGATTCTCTTTTACTTTTCCTCATATATCTTCTAATGTCTTTAGAGTTTTAAATTCATCTTCATATTTCTCAGGCATTTGTTCTCTCTTTATAACAATACCTTGAAACTCATAATTTATTACACTCATAATTCTTTCTGTAGGATTATACCAGCTGTGATGTGAAGCTATTCTAATTGTAATTAGCATATCAAAATTACCTACTAAAAACAAATATATTAGCATTACTTGAACTGATCTAAAGGTACATCTGTGATCAGGACCCTCATTAGTATAGAGTGATAATATTAAAGGTAAGGGTTAGTTATAATACTAATGATTTATGAGATTAAAAAATTCTGATGAATTTCTTAATGTGCTACTTGGTTGAAATACAGCATTTTAAAAGCTGATACACACTTTTCTATCATAAAAAGATTCAGATATATCACATGGTATATTAATAAATAAAGTAACAGATGGCGTTAATGATAACTTTGTAAAGTCATAATCTGTGACTGTGATTTCTTCTTTGGCTGATGCTAAAGTCTTTTTATTACGAATACCTGTAGATATTGGTATACCCTCACCAATAAGCACTTTATATTTATTGTCTACTAAGATAAAATATGTATAATCTCGATATTTGATATTGAATTCATGTTCATATTTAAATAAAGTATGATAATAATATTCATCTTCACTGAATTTTCATAATAATCGTGATTACACCTTATATTTTATATTAAAATGTCTAGTACAGTTAACTCTTGATATATCAAACTCTTGATATAATGAATTTTTTGAACAAATATAATAAAAATACTTTTGTTATAGCGAATTGACCAATCAAATCTCTTAAAAACTTCACTATAGCCTTATAGCGAAGTTGAGGTCTAAGACATAGAATTCGTTATAACAAAAGTTAACTGTATATTGTAAAGCCTTAGTAGTATATGTATTAGATAGTGTAAAATTTAATCTTATCCACTCTTCTGATAGAATAAAAATATCACTTGGTAGAGGAGATCCTTGATATATTGCATTTAAGCGAGTAATGATTCTATCTTGCAACTCTCAAATAGATATAGCATATGAAATATATAGAATAGTACCTGTTCAACATTCATTAATAACTGTATTATTGTGTTAAAATATAAATAAAAAAATAATTAATTTTATTATTAGAAATATTAAAAAATACAAATTGGAAATTATTTAATAATCTCATTAAAATATCTGTTAAGTTTATCCTAAAATATATCAAATTTTGATCCTTGAAATTCATTATTAGTCCTTAAATCAATTATTATAGAAGGATCTTCCAATAACATTATAAAACGTAATCTTTCTTTCATTTCTTTGCTTATTTTATCATTTGCCAATAAAGCATTATTAGTTAGATTATAATATAACATTCTAAGTATTAGTTTTGAAAGATTGCGAACTAGAGAATACTAAAAAAGTTTTGTTGAGTTTTTAATTAACAAAAAATTTTATTGTAAATTGATCATATTTATCATACCTTTTGAAAATCATTTTTTCTCATTTATCTTATACAATATACTAGTATTATATCATTAATGCAAATAATTATCTGCGCTTTAAGAGTTTCATAATCTTCATTAATTTCATCAGTATCAGGTTCTCTCCATATAAAATTTAATGTCCTAAGATAATTACCATGAAAATATCATATTTTTAATAAAATAATTTTTTGTAATATAAATTATTTATACACCAACATGCAATTCTTAAATTATAATTTTCTTAAATTTTTAAAAATAAAAAAACTTTACCTATATAATCCTGTAGGTACAGATAATTGAATATCACAAATAAAATCATGCTTTTTTATAAAATCATCTGATACATATAAATTGAAATCAATAAAATCAAATAATTCTCTGTTCGTAAGATCAGAATCTAAACTATGATATCTTGAATCAATCTTCCTTTATCATATTTAGAAATAAGCTGAATATTACAGTTAGTAGATAGTTTACATGCTGAATTTTCGCTTTCATGAAGGGCTTTCATATTATTATTAGTATTATCAAGATGATCAAAATATTTCTTCATCATAGATGTAAGTTCGAAAATATTTAATACAACTTCTTGTTAAGAATCTTTAGATACCCAAGGTTCAGCTAAAGAAAGCTTTATAGAATTAGCTAATTGAAAAAATTCTAGGCATGTAAGTTATGATTTTTTTTCTTTATTCTTTAATAGTATTCATTATAAACTCTATTTTGCTGATATATTGAAAGAGAGCTAAATAATAATGGAAGATGACATTCTTTTGAACATAATTTTTCTAAGTATAGGTCTATATATCATATAGCCCTAGTTAAATGTTTAATAAATTATTTTCTACAAGTGTTGTAATTATTTTCAGGCTAACCAACACACATACTCTGAAAAAGTTAAATAATATGATTATATAATAATATATCACGTGTATCTTCACATTTTTGTGTTAGAAGTTGATATCTAAAATTCATTAATCTTGTAAAGGCGTTAGGGTATGTATTTGTGATAAAGATATAATAAAATCACACAGAAGAAAGATATACTTGAGATATATAAATCTTAATATTTTTATTAATAAAAATTTACTATCTAACCCTTCTTGTACTGGTACCCAAGACTCAGTTTTTGTTTTTCTAACTTTCACACGCACATTTTGGTAAAAGTAGTTTTCAGAAAAAACTGAATCAAATAAGGTTGAAAATAAATCGCTTTCTTCTACTTCTTTTATTAAAGGTCTAGTTATAATTTTAGCATCCTCATTTACTTGAACAATTATAAACATTTTTTTATACAATGTTGTGTCATATAAAATAAAACGCTAAGTAAATATTTTGAAAAAACGCGATATGCATCTTTGTATTTTTTGCATTTTCATTAACAAAGAAAATTAAAGTTTAAGCAATGTGAAGATCATTAAATATATCATATGGGAGGATTTCTAGGAAAATCAGGTTCTGAGAAATTTTTGATTAAAATTAAGAGCTTAATACATTTTAATCTAATAATATCAAAAACTAAAATGCAATAAAAATCTCAATTTTGCTAAAAAATTCCTGGAACCTGATTTTCCTAGCAATCAACTTATATGATATTATAAATGCTTTTTATTAGCTGAAATTTTTGATTACGTGAGTATTTTTTTTTTAATTTTTTAAGAAATTCAGGAAGGGGGAAATGTAAAACAGGTAATTAAATTAGTTCAACCTTATATAAATCTTTAGATTTCATTATTTAAAATATAAATTATAATAATAAAAGTAAAAATAATTTTTAAATTAATTTATTAATTAAATAGTTACAAGAAAATTAAATTAATTAAAAAAAATTTTTAAAAAATTCAAAATAACTATCTGTAAAAAAATTGGTAAAAATATTATAAATATTAAACATTTAAGAAATATTTTTATTTAAAAAAATAAAATCAATTATTTTATATTTATAAATTTTATAAAAGTCTATATAAAACTAAAACTAAAAATATTAAATAGATATAAATAATTGAAATTTTAGAATATTTAAAATATTTGCTTAAAATAAAACTTAAGTTATATTTAATATATTACAATTAAAATAATTTAATTTAATTTAAAAAAATATGAAAATGATAATAAAATTATTATATAAGAAATTATTTAATTTATGAATATAATATAATTATAATTATTATAATTATTATTTATTTAATAATAGTTAAGAAACAGATAAAATTTTCAAAATAGTAGTATAGATTAAAAGACAAATTTTAAAGTTATAATATAATTTTTAAAATAAGCAATACCATTAAATCTATTTAATAAAATTAAATTAATAATAACATATATATAATATTTTTATAAATTATGACAAAAAATCCATTATTTCTTTTATTTTTAATAAAAAATTTTTTAATTAATTTTATAATTTTCAATATAATTTTCTTTATTATTTTTATATATAATTTCTTATATATCATTTTTTTTTTTAAAAAAAAAAATAATTCTTTATAAAATATAAGAAAATGTAATACAGAATCTTAAATATATATAAAACTTATTTAAAATAATTAAATAATTTATGCAAATTTTTATAAAATACATAATCTATATTTGTAAATTATATGTATAATTAGAAATTACTTTTATAAAATAGATTAAATCTAAAATTATGATTCATTTTAAAATATACTTTATATTATATAATATGATTATAGTTTAGAAAAAAGATCAAAAAATTTTAAATATAATATTTTAGATAAGTTTATCATAAATTTTAAAAATATATAAATATTTTATAGTAAATTTATTAATAATTTAATTTAGCTTACTTGTAATTTTATTTATTAATTAGTTAATTTTAAATATATTTATTAACAAAAAAAATATTTTTATAATTAAAGTTTAAATTGAAAATTATGACTAAATTTGGATGAAAATTCTTACCATTTAAGGAATATGAATTTTTAGTAATATTAGTTTTTAGTAATATAATTGCCAAACTTTTTGATAATGCAGGCCGATAATGCAGACCGAATTTTCGTACAAAAAAAACTTGTGCTAACCCCAAATTTTTTGTGGCATGTGCATATTTACATTTTTGTCGACTTTTTTAAATTAGACGTGCATTTATATTTTCGGTAAAGTTTAAAATTTGTAAGTCATAAGAATGTATACCCCCACTCGACGTAGTATTATTAGTGGAGTCGATAGAGCGGCCAATACGGTTATCTTTGCTATTGGCCCTATATTTATCTTGCTGGCAATAGGGTTGCTCGGGATGGCAACACTGACATATTTTACGGTTGTCTTTCCTTATTTCTATAAATGGGACGACGATTATATTTGGACAAAAGTTTATTATTATATTGGCTTAATATTTAGTATATATCTGGTTGTTTGTATCTTTTTTCATTATTACATGGCGGTTAGAACAAAACCTGGAGGTGTATTGAATGCTGGAACTGCCGAAACGGTAAATACACAATATTAAATTCATTTTTTTTTTTTTTGAATTAAAAATGATCAATTTTTTTTTTATATAGGAATCAGATGATCCAACATTGCAAGGATTATTTCTTGAATTGGAGGAATATGCAGAATTTCCAAAAACATGCAAAAAATGTAAACTCATACTCCTTTTAAAAAGATTGAATTAGTAATTAATGCACAAATATATGTTTATTTATGTTTAATTTTAGGTCATCTTCCAAAACCTGAAAGAGCACATCATTGTTCAGTGTGTAAAAAATGTGTATTAAGATTTGATCATCATTGTCCATGGATAGCGAATTGTGTTGGACATTTTAATCATAGATATTTTTTACTTTTTATGACTTACTTGGTAATTGCTTGTTTTTATTTTGCTATTGTTGGATGGAAAATCTTTTTGCTTAGTCTTGACATTGAAGCTGAGGTAACCGTAAAATAATTAATTTCTTTTGTAATGTAATGAATTGAATCAAGCTAATGCTATTATTTATGAAGTGGGATTATTGGATGCCAAGACCATACATGGCTTTATCATTCTTGCTTGCTGTCGCGATTGGAATAGCATTAGGTACTTTGAATGTGTCCAATATTTACTACCAAATATGTTAAATTGTATTTTTAATATTTTTAAAATCGTTTTTCTTGTGAAATATACTTGTAGGAGGGATGTGTTCATGGCATTATTATTTAGTAAGTTATTAATATAATATTATGGTTTAAATAATATTTCATTTAAATTTATCTTTATAACAAATTTTTTTTAGGTTTTAACATCGCAAACAACAGTAGAATTTTATAATAATCAATACGCGAGACGTTCAGCTAAACAAAAAGGAGAGGTAATAACTAAGTGATTTTGAACAATCGACCTCTTTTTTTTTTTTGACTTAGTATCTTGAAATCTTTTATTTTCCTTAGGTATATGCAAATCCATATGACTTGGGATATTTGAATAATTTACGTCAATTCTTTAACGTTGGCCATAATTAGTAAGTTTCTATTTATTCTGATTTTTTTTCACGTGAATTCACTAATTTTTCTTTTAAAAACATTTTTTTTTAAAAAAAAAACAGCAAATAGTAAGTGACAATTCCTTCACGTTCATTCACTTTTTTTGATTAAAAAAAAAAAATTTTTTTAATTATTTAACAACAATCACTATTTATAGTTCCATATATACAATCCTCCTTCCTATACCAGTACTACCGCCGGGTAATGGTAAAGTATGGGAGAAGAGCGCGATGCACTATACAACAGTTAATAACGATATTTCAGATGATACCGATTAAGCAATGCTACTAGCATTTATTGAGCACACTCTTGATATAATGAAGTTACTAAGACTTTTGGTATACCAGGGGTTCTTTTTTTAATAATGAAACCTATATGGTAATATGATTGTATACAAAAAAAAGACTAGCGTAGAAATTTGCATTCCGGGGTTCAGGTTGTACTGTTTTTGTTTATCCTTTGGTTTTGACGTTTGTATATATTCCTTTCATAGATATATAATTCATGATTTACTTATTAATCAAAATATACAAGTTTTCCCTTCCCTTTTCTCTCTTTATTTTTTTTTTAATTTTTTTTTTTTTTGTATATTAGAGCATCTTTAACAAATCAAATTCCAATATCGAAAAAAAATTTTAGTTTAATCATTAAATTTCACATTTAAAATTATTCGATTTTTTACTTTTGTATTTTCGTACATGAATTTATTTTTTTTTTCCTTTTTTTGTCGTGTAACAAAAGTTTAAACGTAGATTTTTCCATAAATGGTATCAAGTACATGGTCAATGCGTGTGAAAAATGCCATATAAATCTTTAGACTTGCACGATGATATGAATTTAAAATTCGAATGGATTAAAGAGAGATGGATATCAAATTCGTTTTTTTGTATTTGTCTCATTTAAAAAAATCAAAGGATAAATTAATTTAATAAACAGATGAAAAAAAGATCCAAAATTTCCATTTATAGAGGACAAAATTAAATTCATGCTAGGTAGATCATTGTATAACTCACGTGGGATTTCGGGATTAATATTTCAACCAAAAGGGAGGAAGAAATCGGAATGTTTACAGAACTTTTTAAATGACGCAATAACTTATGTAATCAAATAAAAATTCAATTAGACAAGGATAAATTTTGGGATCATCACAATGCGTAATTCGCTAAATCATCACCCCCCTTGCGACATAAACTGCTGAAAATCACGGTTGCAAATTGAGCCGAGTTGGTGGTTCTATTTTTGAACATTTTGAAAGTAATGAGATCACTTAAAGGGTATCACAATAAAATGATAGTATTGTTCATTGTTGATGACATAACTTTTGGACTAAATTATAAAGTAAAAATTTTTTGAAGTGACTAATTGACACAGAGAGGTTGAAAGACCTAAAATGTAAAATCAAATAGCATTTTAAAAAAAGTAATTTGGTTGAATGAACAAGTTAGATTTGGTAATATTAAATTCCCACAGTTCTGTGGTAGATAATTCATAAAAGAAAATAATATTACCTTAAATAGTAATAAATTCTTTGATTCTTTGATTTGTCTTTTTATGTAATAAGGATTATATAAGAATAACTAGTTAATAACCAGTATCAAACAATTCAATGATAAATGAACTTTCCCTAATTGTAGTAATAATGTAGTACGAAATGGTTTACTTTTTTAATATATTATATATATAATAAACAAAAAATAAAATTTAAAGAGCTGTCAATAACATGATTTTATAAATAAATGTACAACCAAATACAGTTTTGATAACTTTTTTGATTTATATGATGTTCACATTGTTAGATTGGTGTAACTGATCTAATGATCCAACGAGAACCATTTTACATGCGACCTGTTATTGAAATGTTTTTATTTCACACATGATATCTTGGGAGGAGGAAGTGATTTTAACTTTTTATGGATTTATATAAGGGTGAGAACAAAAATAAAAAGGAATTAATTCTCGCATGATAAAATGTTGCATTATTGAACATCTTTTCCTGTGGTTAAAAAGAGTAAGAATTATAAGGTCAAACAAATAATCGTCATCACAACACACGAATTGAGAACGTAAAAATTTTTTTGGATTTTCTAAAAAATCTTAATTTGGTGAGGCACGGAAATGGATGTTCATTGAACATCTTTCGTTGTTGTAATTCGTACAGTTTTATTTGTTACATGTGTGCAGAAGTGTTCGAATGTAAGTTCTCCATGTTAAATTGTATCACCAAATGGGCAGAGAAATCACGGACTTGGCTGAATTAATTACTGGATAAGTAAGTCATATTTATATCATATGCATGCCCCAAATAATAAACATAATATTTCGCCTCAATTAAAAAAAAGATTCTCCATTTATAATTTTTTTTTTTTTTTTTTTTTTTTTTTTTTTTATTATCATTATTTCCCAATTTTTTTTTTTTTTTTTTTTGAATGTTTAAAAAACATTGATTTTATTTTTATGTGTAGGTTACTGTAATGCTACGCCATTATAATGAAGAAAGAAATTTTTTTTTTTTTATCAATCTGGAAAGTTTTAAAGTATATCAAATTTTTATTATATTATTATTATTAAAATTTATTAAATTTTTAATTCCGTTTTAAACAATATTTGTAATATTTGTCACTCCCAGTTCTCCTCCCCCCCTTTTGCCACTCTTGAGTTGCTTTTTTAGTCGAATTTTTTTTTTTTTTTTTTTACGGTTGCTCACCTTTTTTGAGTTCGACTCCATCCTAAAAGTACGCAAATAAAACCTCGTTCCCTTCTTTTATTCGACCTTGTCGATAAGAATTGTTAACTATCTCTTTTATTTCTTTCTATCTTAAGTGCTCAACTAAATCTTTTGTTAAACCTTGTGTACAAATAGATTTACCTTTCGTTTCGGCTCGTTCCCTCTTTAATTTATATAATAATTTAAGTTTTATAAAAAAAAAAAAATCCAAATAATATTTTATCAGGTAAAATTTTACTTAATAACTCTCGCAGAGGAGCTCGTGGTTCGGTTTTAAATTAAGCCGTATTTTTGACGGGATATTGTTCACTACTTGAACGTATCATTTTTTTTAGATTAACATTTTTCAAGATCTTAATATCATATTTATATACATTTTAAATATTTTTAACTTTTTTTTTCATTTCGTTACCCTTATCTCTCTTCCTTTTAGTTACCTATTTATTAACTTTTTTAAATGTCTCCAACGAAACTCAAGATCAAAGGCAATAAGGCATTCTCACTGTTATCCATCGAGACTGATGAGGATTTATCAAAAACATGGCGTTTAATGACAAAAGTGAAGGATGCATTGGAGTATGGAATGCGCTTAGAAAATTTATCATGGAGGCTTTGGTTCATGCATCACCTCATGGTTCATGATCAAAAGTCTCACTCTCAATTTAAAAAGTTGTCCACTGCCACAACAAAAAAATTAGAAATCGAAAAGGCTACGAACCTAAAAAGTTTATCGGTTCCACTTTATCGACCAAAGACTCAAGAAGTAATGATGGAAAAGAAAGGGAAGAAGAAGGCTACAAAAAAGCCGGTGTCTACTGGTGCATCACAAGTAAAAAAGTCGAATAATGTAAAGAATGTTAAAATCCCCAAAAATATCGCCGAATCATCTCTAGAAAATGAAAATGAAATCGCCGCCTCTTCATCTCCCACAAATACTCCCGACCATAGTGCCGATTATGGGCAACCTGATTATGGAAATAATGGTGAAATAATTGCTACGGTCACCTCCACCTCAACCAATGATCAAAGCAGCGCTGAATTAATGGATTTGGATACTCTTGATGAAAATATGACCTTAAATAGTTGGTTTTTTTTTTTATATGAACGGATCAATTTAATCATTTGTTTTCTTAATTTTATATTTAATTATTATTATTTTTTTTTTTCAGTCGTTGATAACGGGACAAATACGCTTGCTTCTTCTGTTAACGAGAATACCCCTAGGTCGCTCGTAGATATTTTCAGATTCAGCGAAGTTAGCCAAGACTTCTATTTGCGTCAATATACAAATGATCAAGATCCATATCAAGTCGTTTCATTACCGGGGGTTTTTACTCCTTCGTTCGATGCTCAAGCCATATTGGATCCTAACAATCAACAACCTACAATGATGTTGGACTTGAATGAAGTCTTGAGTGTTCACCAATTTTATTCTTCTCCCGACTCATCGGAACCGCCCTCCCCCACAGATCTTGATTGGTACGCCGACAATGTTGCACAAAATTCTGATATGCAGTCAAACCTGCAGTTTCAAACGTTGAATAGTCAGTTGGTTGGTAGGACATCTTCGTCCGGATTGCATGATGCGGTCTATGTTAGAAATACCGATCCTACGCCCGTTAATGCTTCACACCTTAACATCACGATAACGTCAATGAATACTCCACACAATACCCCGCTGAACACCCCTCTTAATACTCCTGTCACCGGCTTATCGAACAGTAGTCTGATGAATAGTGTTTACCTGAACCAATTTCCCTCAGAGCAAAATAATACGAGTAATGCAGGGTCTCTTGGGCAACAACAGCAGCAATCACAACAATGTACTTCGAAATCTATAGCGTCAACTTCTCCCTCTTGTTCGTCCACATCGTCGATAGATACGTCAACCACTGCCGCTCGTCCTTCCGCTAATGCCCCATCATCAACGTCCGAAAGTAGTAGACCTAAAAAGTCCCATTCGAATGGAGAACAACAATGTTTCAATTGCGGTGTGACTTCTACTCCCCTCTGGAGACGATCGGCCAATGACGAACTCTTATGTAATGCTTGTGGTTTATAGTAAGCGATTTTGAAAGTTAATTTTAATGAAATGAAATTTTTTGTTTTAACCGCTTTATAATTCTTATCAATATTTTTTTTTTCATTTTTTTTTTTCTTTTATAATTTAGTTTGAAATTACACAAGATGGCTCGTCCGAAAACCATGAAACCGCACATTGTTCGCAAAGATGCTCGTGATGATGAAGCTTCACAACCTGTCTGCTCAAATTGTAGAACGATGACTACACCGTTGTGGAGGCGCGATAAAGAGGGCCAAACCCTTTGCAATGCCTGCGGATTATAGTAATATATATTATTTTTTTTTATCGTTTAAAAGGACTTTCGTTTCCTTTCTATAAAGTCGAATGATATTAATTCCTTGTCTGTCTCCTTTAGCTTTAAATTACATCATGAAAGACGTCCATTGTCCATGAAGACTGACGTTATAAAGAAACGACAACGATATGAGAATGGGCAAGCGCCTAGTCGCCGTGGAGGAAAAAAACGATTACACGAGAATAGTCAGCAGGAGATCCAACAACCGCCACAACAACCGCAACAACAGCAACAGCAACAGCAGCAACAGCAACAAGGACAGCAACATCAAGTGGTGTATAATGGATCCAACAGGTCTATGAACGTTCCCTCAACAGCTGTTTCTCAAATGGGTCCAATTTCAGTTGGACAATCATCATCTTCCGGTTTGAACGCACATCAATCACCTAGCACCACCCCCATAAATGGAGGATTTCCATGATTTCGATATCACTACCTCTTTCCTGAAAATTAAGATTTTGCATTTTTTCTCCTTTTTTTTTTTTTCTTTTTTTTTTAACAAAAAAGAAAAAAGATTTTTAAATAATCAGTTAGTTTAATTTTTATTTTATTATATTAAAAAGTCTGGTTTATCACGGACCAATATTTACAAATATCATTATCGATTTGAACATTTTGTGAAATGTCAAGAAGAATGATATTTGTTTGGACTTTTAAACACTTTCTTTTTAGTTAATTTCGTTAATGGTGAATGATCAATTAATATTTCACAAAAATCTTATACCCTTCATAATATAAATAATTTTGTCACAAAATAACCATTACCATCTCCTTAATCTCGCATCAGAAAAATGTGTTATTGAGTCGATATAACAAAAATTCAATTGAATTGAATTTTTTAAAGATAACACATTGACGAACGAATACCGATGATAAATTTTCTTTGAATGATATAGTAAAAAAAAAAACAAAAAAAACAAAAAAACAAAAAAAAAAAAGAAACAAAAACAAAAAAAAAAAGGGAAAAAAAAAAGTCAAGATCTTCATCACAATTCACATTAAGCCTATATGAGACGTTTTAAGATTAATGTAGATAATTTAAAAACATTATTAGCTTCTTTCAAAGTTGTCAATGAGAGTTTAATACACTATCAAAATTTTTTACTCTCCATTAAGATTATGACGAATTAATTTTCATATGGGCAAACTCCCCGAAATTGAATGAGATCGTTAGATGATATATATTCAATTCAGGAACAGATGGAAGAGATAATAATTTATTTCTATCATTGTAATCAATTTTTTTTTTCTTTGTAAATTTTTTCTTTATCACTATTATTTACCAATTTCAGTTCAATTTTATTGCTATTTATTATTTATTTTCAACCTTCACCCTCTTCTATTTGTAAAGTTTTATGTATACATTTTTTTCTCTGTACACAATTTTTTTTCTTTTTGATACACAAGGTTATGAAATTTTTTTTTTTCCCTATGAATGAATTTTTTTTCCTGATTTAAAGAATACATAAAATTTTTATTCCTTCCTTTTTTTAAAATTACACTTTTTACACAAATTCCAAAAAACAAAAAAAATAACCTTTTTTAATACATATTTCACTTTCAATTACACAATAGAAAAATCCTCATTATAACATCCATCTAAACAAGAATCCTTACTCTTTATCTATATAATAAACAAGCAAAGAAAAAAATATATATATAATATATATTTTTCTTTTTTTCTTTTTATGCATGCATGCTCTAAATTTTATTTATGTCTCAATAGTTTCAATACCTTCATTTTTTTTTTGTTTTTCACTCACTCACTCACACCCTTCTTTTCTTTCTAAATTATTATTTTTTTGATTGATAATTTTTTTTTTTCTTTCTCTCTTATTATTATTATTATTCCCTTTTCTTTTTTTTGTGATATAATGTAAATAAATAATACTTCACAAATGGAAATTTTTTTTTTTAAAAAAAAGTTAAATGTGATTTGTGATAATTTATTATTACTTCAGTTTTGACACTAAATCAAAGAAATTAATTAATAATCTTGTTTCTTGACTAAAGGTAAATTTGAAAAATAAGATTCCATTCAGATTATTTTATATGGCCTCAAGAGATTTTCGTCATAATAAACGCGAAGTGCTTATTCAAAGAACAAGGATGATCTTTTTTATCATCAAAATAGATTTCACGAGAAAAAAAGAAAATAAAATAAAAAGAATTCACTTACATTTTTATATAAGCTTAACAAAAAAAGATTCTACGTAATTAAACGTATCTTAAAGGTAATACAGGCCAATAGACTACATCGTCTTGATTAGATTTATCAAAACTTTGAGCAAATTTGGAATTTACCGCTGCTTCTAATGTATTGATTAATGTATAAGAATCTCCGTAGAATTCTTTAGATTCTATGCTAGGCTGATGATGAAATGATGGAATGAGCGTAGGATCCGGCCAAGGATTCAGGTCGATGAAATCATTATTTGAAGATGAGTTGGAATCTTTATCATCATCAACTGCTTTTTCTTTTGCGACTTTTTTTTTTTTTTTAAAAAAAAAAAAATTAATCTATTACAAAGTGAAATTCTTTTCATTCCTTTGAAAGAAAGATCGAAGCCAAATTAATTTACGTCGTTGCCGCCTTAATTCAGAAAAGCGAAACATTGCTTTTGCCTCCTCGCTTAATACGAACTCAATTTTAGGCTCTTCCGATTCTTCCTGTTCTACTTCTTTCTGGTATTGCTCTTGATACTCGTAACCTGTATGACCTTCCGCTTCTTCCTCCCCTTCCATTCTCCATAACCACCATGGAGGGGTGGTTGGTAATGGTAAAAAATTCCTATCCTGTTTAAAGTGAGTATTATGAAACTCACGAAAATGAAGGAAATTTTGTGAGTCTGTATGAGTAGGAGGAGGCGGTGTTGGGTGAGAAGGAGGAGGATAAATTTGAAGATAATAATTGGGTGGTAGTTTATAAAAAGACATGTTTGAAACAGACTAAAACAAAAAAAAAAAAATTAATTTCTATTAGAGTAACTTTGCTTGACAATTGATTTTTTTTTTTTAACCTTTGGGTGATTAATTAATTGATTGATTGATTAGATTTGAAATCGGTTTTATCATTTATTTGTTACACGACATATCTTAACATATGCCCAAATGAAAGCACGGATTCCCTTTTTTTTATATATATAAATAACTGCGCGCCGATCTCTCGTCCATAGTCATTGTTTTTTTTGTTTTTCACTTGAATATTAAGCTTAGTTTAACACTCGTTACACGACATTATAATATAAATAAAAAAAAAGCCAAAAGATTTTTTTTTTTTTTTTTTTGATAAAATATAAATATAAACCATATAAGCCGAAAAAAATTTTTTTTTTTATTTGCACGAATTTTTTTTTTTTTTTTTATTATCGAAAAATTGAAAAAAAATGACACATCGTTCGTTGGATGAAAAACTTGAATCTTTAAACAATTTTGCGGCTTGTGATGTACGTTCAATCATTCAAAGATATTTGTGAATGATCCATGTAGTAAAAATTGTTATTATTCAATTGTCAAAAAGGTCGCCGACGCTCTCTTACAATTAAACCAGCCACTTGGAGGTTATTTACCGGATATCGTAATGTTTTCACCTGAATACCAAGCAGGCGATACCAAACTAATTGGTCCCGCGTACACTATTAAAGTGAATTTTTTTTTTTTTTTTTAAAAAAAAAAATTTTCTTCAAAATATTCATTTCATATATTACTACTTATCAATAATAGCTTGTACCGAAATCCGATACTACATCGCCTATAATAGTTGGATCTTATGTACGTAATAAGCATTATTTGCTTCCGAAACGTCATTTTGGTTAATTACTTATATACAGTATATATATATGCGTGAATCGCTTAATATAATAAATAATAGGCTGATACGATTCCTGCTGGTAGTGTAGTGATCTTATCTGCTCCTCCAAGTTGGTATTTTCTTTCTTTTAATAATGATGATGATAACAACAATAACAACAATAATAATTATAATAATACTACTAATTTTCACAACTAGATGCTGTAAATGCTGTTTGGGGAGGATTAATGAACACGAGAGGAAAGATACTTGGAATGAAAGGTATCGTAGTTGATGGTAGAGTACGAGATCTTGCAGAGCTTCGATCTGATGGACTACCGGTACGCAATTAATTTTGAGATAAAAAAAGTCACAAGATAATATATGCTGATATAAACAAATGCAATTATGATTTTTTTTTTTTTTTTTTTTTTAAAAAAAAAAAAAGGTTTTTGCTAGAGCATCTACGGTTTTATCTTCAAAAGCATTTACACGTCCAACTGCACTTAATATTCCATTAACTCTTAACGGAAATCATGTTCCACCCATAAGAATTTATCCGGATGATATTATTCTTGGGGATTTAGATGGTGTTGTATGTATACCTAAAAATTTATTGGATCAAGTTTTGGAAATATGCGAGCAAAACACAACTATGGATAAAAAACTTAAAGACGCTTTATGTAAAGGAACATCTTTAACTGATGCGAAGAAAACTTATAGAACAACCAATTGATGCATGATGCAGTACCTTTTTCTTTTTAAAAAAAAAATGTATTGCAAACGTGTAATTAATAAATAAAATTTTGTTTGGACCTGTTATCTAGTCTGAATTATAATGTGTTTACGGAAGTTCCGGTGAGATACCAAAGGTTTAAATATCAGACCCGATTAATAAGTAAAAAAAAAACCCTGCATTGAAATCATTTTCTGTCATAATGTAACGGTGATTTCAATACAATAACCTTCGTTTTTATAATTTTTGAAGTTTACCATTTAATTTGAAGTTTTTTTTTGAGCATCCTTGTTATGAAATGACGTTATATACTGTATGCAAAACCGTCTAGAAGGCTGTAAAAATGTCAGGAAAGTGTAAACCAGTCCACACACCCTCTACATAAACAAATAATTTAAAGTCCCCTTCATTGGAGAGACATCGATGTCCCGTTCAATGTAATACATTTTTGTATATTTTTATATTGCAGATATTTTAAATCGAAAGTTTTAAGTTCATAAAGTATGCAATTATTTATATTATCATAAAGTCCGAGACTTTCTAAAAATTTTATGGTACAATACAGCTTTGATGACAACTTCTAAACTTTCTCTCGTTTATCTTCTTTTTCGTATCAGTATTAAGTCATATATTAAATGTTTTGCATTCTTCTCGTAACGAACTCTACAATTTTCAGTAGAGATTTTAAGGATGCATTACCGAGATGAATGAGTTATCGACATCAAAACATCATGTTGCTAAAACACTTTGAAAAAAAATACTTTAGTATTTCCTATGCGAGAAACATGAGAAAGACTTGTGTTTTGGTAGGTGGGTGGTTAATCAGGACTTTGATTGTCAAAGTGACAAATATTCTATGAAACTTTTAATCGAAAGATTTGTGGTTTATGAATTTTTTTACAAATTGAAAGTGACAAACGACAAAATTCGTCAGTGATGCTGAAAAGTTATTGGTATGTTAACGCGTGGTGTGATGAATCATAAACTTCAACTACAAGGCTAAATCTCTAGCTGAGAATAGGAGTTTGATATTTATATCTCGTTTGATTAAGGAATGATTAAGCAATGATTGCAATATTAAATCACATTTCAAATGAAGTGATTTTATAATCATTATAAATATCATAGTTTAATAATCTTTATAATCTTGTAGACTCAAAAAACCTAGATTCAAAAACCTGAAAAAGAACGCGTCCAAGTTCTTGAAATTATATAATAAAGTAACTCGAGAAGTGATATTTTTAAAAAATGTTTTTTCCCTTTTAATTTGTTAGACACTAAGATTTTAATATTTATAGCTCGAATACAAAATCATATTCGTTGAATAATAATCAGAATATGGATGGATTATTGGATTCGTCAGTTTTTCTTTTTTATACGCCAGTATTTCTTATCCTTTTGATCTTTTATTATCTTTCGCATGTTTGGAGTGATGATTATTGGGAAGAAGGTGATAAAATTTATTCAGACTATATTAGTTATTTAACCATATATATATATATATATCTCTAATTCGCATTTCTCTCTTCATCAAGACTATACCAATATAGGTTTATCTATACATTTCACACCAACATTTTGTTATATCATGCATCTCTCACTTTTAGAATTATGTTGGTATTCGAAAGCCGCTCTACATTTACTTTATTTTATCTTAATTCTCATGTTAGTAATTCAAAATAAATACGCTGAAAGATTCTGGAGAGTTGAATATGGGCTGGATTCATTCACTATTTGGTATTACTTCGTAATAGTGTATACTTGTGTGCTTTGCATGATTTCTTTAGAAGTAGCGTTGAAAGAGGTTGATTTTATTTAGCAAAAAGCGTTTTTATTAATGACGCGTAAATATAATCGCTCCTTTTAAATAATTCAAAAAAAAATTTTTTTTTTTCGTCCCTATATAATGTGACATAAATTACATGAATTAAAAAAAAAAAAACATAAAATTGAATAGAAATTTAAATAGATATGTATGACAATCAACGTTACGAAAACTTTATGTAGAAAGAAAGTATCGATGAAAGTTCATGTTCATTGATTTTTGATGTACGCTCTATTTTGACACTCTAATATCCATTTATTATCTCTTATGATATAGAGCAACACTAGGGCGAAAAAATTTACTTAAATATTGTTCACTTACATATTGACTTCAATCAAATTTTTTTAATCATCGCCTGGATTTATATTTTTTGATTTTAGATGTGGTCGTCTTTGCCGAAGTTTCCTTTTGTTGTTTGGCACTCCATTCTTTCCATTGCTCCATAAATGATTTGGTTTTTACTTCTGTTATACTAGGTTTATTAATTGGTAGTTTCAAATACTTTCGAACACCTTTATTTTTTAAGAAAGCATTTTGTGCAAAGGCTAACGTATTTGCACAAAGAAAATAAACAAGCACGGACTGCAATTTAAGACGAAGAAATAAATTATTGTTGTTAAAAAAAAAAAAATAATAATAATAATTATCTTTAAAAGTATTCAAATTCGATACGTACGGAAGGTAATGTCATCGTGAAAGGAATTGATAATACGCTAACTCCGCGGAAGAACCATTTTATGCCCTTTCCTTGAGATGCTTTTACGGGCCCACTGTCAGTTCCCAGCTAAGTAGATAATTCAGTTTGAAATGAACTCAATATATAAATTCGGGTGAGTAAAAAAAAAAGATTATTACCTCTAACATTAGGATAAACCCTGCACTGACAAGAAAAGGTAAAGCCAAATTTGGATCCGGAGCAGTTAAATCTTTGAACCATAAAATCCCCCCATGATCAAAACCAGGTACACCAGCTGCGGCCATCTTTCTCAAAGCCATAAAAAAACTTATAAAAAAAGGCATTTGCATTAACGGGAACAATAAAGGTGTTAATGGACTTGTTCCAACGCTTGAATATAATTTTTTCAATTCTTCGGTTTTAGAATAAAGTGTAAATTGATCACGATTATTCCTTGCTTCACTTATTTTTTCCATTAATTTTTCAATTTGTGGTTGTATTTCCACCAATTTAGAAACATTTCTTTGATGATTTATTAATATCGGAAAAAATCCTAAACGTAGAATAAATGTCGCTAATGCAATTGTACCCCACCAAGGTAATCCTGTTGAGACATGTAACATTTCAAAGAATCCTTCCACGAATCCAACAGGTGTAAAATTAACAAGTCCCATCTCTTTAAAATCTCCCATTTTCAAGGCGGTTTCCATTATAGCATCTGATGATGTTTGCTCAATTATATCCGTAAAATCGGATGCCGATTCAATATTATCGGTAACAACCTCTTGTAAGAATGGTGATGAAGATTCGAGCGTCTTATTCGAATCATCGTTATTTTGCGTTGTAATACTTCGACACATTTGATTCATTGTAAATGATTGAAATAAATTTATTTTATGAAATTTTGAAGACTCTGAAGGTCTTTGTATTTTTTGAGTAAATAAACCATGCTTTTCGTATACGTTTAATATCGACCTATTGCTATTCACTTTTGTTGAAAACTTTTTTAACAAAAAAAAAAGTTTTTAGAAGACCAACCAAAAAAAAAAAAAAAAAAAAATTCATATCCTCACCTTTTTCGAGTTAACTGTTAATGTTTTTAAGCAATGTAATCTTGAAATGCTATGATGTTAAAAGAGAGTAATTTTTATCATAAAATTTTTTAATTTTATCTAACCAAGGATAACAGGTTACATACGTTCGTTTTGTTCGAAGTATTATTGAAAAATTCATTTTTTTTTTTTTTTTTTTTTTAAAAAAAAAAAATTTTTTTATCATCGAAGTATGAAATTTGATTGGTTGATGCTATCTATGTCAAATTCCCGATCGATAAAATTATTTCGACTAAATGCGCGAAAAAAAAAAAATGACTGTAGGTAAGTTTTGAATATGTATAATTTTCCCTATAAATTTTTACTGTTTTTGTTTGAAAAATGATGTAAGGATGTATCCAGTTCTTTTACTTATTATACGTTTACTGAATTCGTTTTTTGGTAAGAAAATGGCAAATATAAGTTTTGAATAAAAAGATCTGTTGAGGAATCGGTTATATCAAAAGAAAATTTTTATCCATTGGAATATTCCTGCATCCGCCATCTTAACTTATTTTTGCTTATATATGCTTAAATATTTTCTTTCATCCGATTTGGTATAACAAAGTAAGATAAAGTTGGCAAAGGAAAGAACCTTTCTTCGAGACAAAACTTTGAAACTTTGATTAATTATTTATTTGTACACAAAAACTGCGCATTTCCTAAAACTATGTGATTGTTTCCATGCTATCAAATGTCACACAATATATCTGTGCATGCGTCGATTATTAATCTGATTGGTTGGTTTGGGATACAAAAAAAAAAATAATATCACCTGATATAATTCAATTCTTAAAAATTTAAAGTATGCATGTTAATTGTTTACGCAATGAACGAAATTGTATAATACGTACGAGATAAATAAAGTAATATTGGATGTAGATCAATAAACCTCATCAGTGGCTTGAAACTTTTACCTTTCGAGCATAGTATTTTCAATTTATGAAGAACTAATGCGAAAAACTGATGGAGGCTCTAAATGCTACAAGACGAATATTACAAAAATATAACACATTTTACAAAAATTAATTAGATATATCAAAAGAGATCGCGAAAAGAAATGTCTTCCGTAATCGTAGCTGCAAAAATTCCGCAGAACGCTGTATTCTTTGCTGGTGAACATTTTCGTTGTGAAATCACTTTTAGTTGTCAACACCCTAATGTGGATAATCTTTCTTCGGAAGACAAATTGCAAGGTTCTTCAAATAAGAATGGATATTCAAATCATACGAGATCTATTAGTGAACCAAAATCGTACGGCAAAAAACCTTCAACAAAACAAGTAACAAATGGGAATCCTTTATCTGTGATCGTCGAAAATCCGTCCATTCAGAATAGTCTTGCCGGAGATTTAGGTGATTCTGGAATGTTTGGGCTTCGAGGTTTGATAAAGAGATCGGCATCACTTACTTCCATTGCGTCTTCGACCTTTTCCCTGCTAGCCGGAGGAAGTGTTGATTCTGATTCTTCCTCAACCTCTCATTCACTTGTTCAAAATTCACCTTCAAATTCATTACAGTCAAACCCAGGATGTGCGGAGGAGCACGATTTGGAACGTGTAAATGGTATTTATTGTTTTATATTTTTTGGGATTGTTTTTATTTGATCCAACTTCATTAATTTAACATTACTCGTACACTTCACTTTAAAGATAAGACTGTTTTAACGTCTGAACTTCTTTATTATACAGATGAGGAGACGGATGATGATGGTGGATTAATTAATTTGCAGCAAGCGGGTGCCATTGATAATGTTTCTGTTAGTGATTTAGATACTTCTGAATCAACGACTCCAAGGAGTTCGGTAGATTTTTATGGACTTGGATATTCTGAAGTAGGAAATAATGCTTGGGGTGGTTTGTTGTCGGATTATAAAAAGTATGAACCCGGTAGAAGATCATCTACGGGAACGCGTTGTAGTTCCTCTCCATCTCTTAGCCAGAAATATGAAACATTATTATGGGGTTTTGTTCAAATTGTAGGACATTTCATAATAGATAATTCGTTAGTAAAATCTATTGAATTTGAACCTTTGAAAACAAAGACAATGTATCGACCGGCTAGTGGGAGTGGAGCCGGAGGTGCCGTTGGGGGTGGAACTTTAGGATTTTTTTCAACTAATCCCTTGAGTCATTCAAGTTTGGCGGATCTTCAAGAACGTGCAGGTAGTTAGGGGTTGGTTCTTGAGTATTCGTTTAAAAAAGGTTAACAGATATAATTTTTTCTACCTTTTTTTTTTATTTACTTAGATAGTAAATCGATACCTGTATTCTCAACTCCTCCTTCAATTTTATTTTGTGATTTACATTTGGCACCTGGCGAATCGCGAACTTGTAATATTTCGCATTTATTCTATTTTGTTTGTTCCGATTCAAAGGTGTGAAATGAGTTAACATGATATTCATTTCTTATAGACACATATGAGACTAGGCTACCTAACGATTTGCCTCCGTCACATAGAGGTAAATCGATTCGATTTTTATATAATCTGATAATAGGAACTCATAGAGGAGGAATGAATCATCAATCAAACATCGTACAGATGCCTTTTCGAGTATTTAATTATGTTTCAGGTAAGTCATGTATTTTTGTGAACGTGAATATTTCGATAGTTCGTTTATTTGTAAACGTTACTTTTTTCAGACGATGGCTCTCGTCCCATCTATGACTTGATGAATCCAGTTGTAATTTACAAAGATGAAGCTGTAATAGCATGTAAAGAAGAAACTCCAAAGCCGCAACCCATAAAAAAAAGAGGTTATTTTACTTTACGGGATATCTTGTTTTAATTTAACTATTCTTTCTTATACTGGTTGATATTTTTTTTTCTTTTTTTTTTGAATTAATGAATGATATAGATAATAAGAAGCAAGGATTTTTGGACTATTTGGAAAAGTTGGTTCAAAGTTCAAACTCCGAGATATCATCATTGATTAGCAATGTAAACAATGATAGCAGTAAAGATAGTGATATGTATGTTTTTGTAGAGAAAGAGGAGAGTTCGGTGGCAAATACTGCAACAATTTTATCAAAAAACATGCGAAAAGGTATATTAACAAACTTAGTAAAGCTTTAATTTCTCTTCTTTTTTTTTTTTTTAAAAAAAAAAAAGTGAATTCATTTATATTTAATTTAAAATTATTTTTTTTTAAAGCAAACTATGATATTTGTAAAAATAATCAACGCGTAGCGCAATTATGTCTTTTAAAAACTTCGTATCGACTTGGAGATATCGTAACAGGAACTATAAATTTCAATGACGCTGTTATACCTAGTTATCAGGTATTGATTGATTAATAATATTATGTAATAATAATGATGATACTTATCTACTTCTTCTTTGGTAGGTATCTGTGACATTGGAAAGTAGTGAAATCGTTGAGTCCTCTATCGCGAATCGTCCACAACAGCAAATTGCTCGTACGACGAGAAAAGTTCATGGGGAACATCACGAATTTTGTCTGAATGCGGCACGGATTAGCTTTGCAATCTCGATACCTACTAGTAGTACACCGGACTTTCAAACGACTGGCGGTAATTAAACATTTTATTGGTTTCCTTTTTTTTTTTTTAAAAAAAAAAATATATATATATATATATTCAAGTAATATTTATGTTATTTGTTTAGTGAAACTTCAGTGGTGTTTGCGATTAGAATTCATCACCGGACCCAAAGGTCAATCGCCGCTAATGCCGCTTAATGCAGATGAACGTCATCAATATTATCAAGCAATTGATGATGTTTATGTCGAAACGTTTGATTGTGCTATTCCTATAAAAGTTTATCCTACATCATATACATCAGCACGGATATTTCCCTCTCATCATGTTTTTCGTGTAACATAATTATTATTTTTATTTATTATATATATACTTTTATTAATTGTTTGATGTTATTACTACTCAAAAGGACTTTATAGATGTTTTGAAATATGAACGAATTTAATTTCTTTTTTCTGATAAATATTATAAGAAATGAAAGTACAGGTGTAATTCAAGGCTTTAATAATTTTAATATATTTGACATCAATATAATTAATTAGTTAATTATAATTTTTTTTCTTCTTAATAATGTAACTGTTATTTGGTAGAAATACTTTATTTTATATGTTTGTTTGACGTTTAGTTTATATATATAATTCATTCTCTCCTTTTTTTTTGTATTATATTAATTTGAAGATTTATATTTTATTGTAATTTTTATAACTCAAAAGATTACTAATATTTTGATTATTTAAAATGAGATTTTCTCTTTAAAATTAAAATCGTTAAAATGTTTCATTTTAAGTCCTAAAAGGCCTGTGAATGATATCCGAACTTGATCTAATTAAGACCTGAGCAATTAAAAGTCATAAAATTTTAAAGTTTTACTGATAAAATTGGACAAATTGAGAACAAAGATGATTCTTTATTTACTACAAAATATTATTTGATGAGCCTTTTTGAAACCAAATGATGATTTGAATAACTTTAATAATGCAAATGATGACCACCTTTATAATGAAACCTTGTGAAGAGTAACCTTCTGATTAGTATAGCATAACTTTTATCTTCAATCTTTTACTAAAATATTGTTATCATATAATGATAACCAAAACATAAATAGATCTTTTTTAAGTATGAGACACATTTTGACTAATCTAAATACTTTTCTTATAATCTTATATGATATAATAGTTCACTTAGACTTCTTAATGAAGTTCACAATAAAAACTTCTATTATATAAAGCTAATATCAAGAAAGTGAAACATTATAAATAATGATGCTGAGTAAAACTGAAATATTTAATCATATAATGAAACTAAAACTATATAATTTTTAATATTAAAATGTCAAAATGCTAAAACTTTATTTTCATGGATTTTTATGGATTTTAACTCCTAATTTTTAATAATAATTACTATAAATTTTAAAAATTTAGAATTTTTATAAATAAAATACTAAAAATTTACTTTTTGATATTTATCACTAATGTCATGTATTTATTATTTATAAATTTTTATTAATACTTTAGTCCTAATCCCTCTAATTAGTATTTATTAAACCATAAATATTTTACAAATATGTGTTATTATTTACCTATAATAATATTATTACATTATATATAATAAAATTTGCTGCACTTTGCTTTATTTAAATAATAACTTTTATATCATATTATTTCTTTACTTAGCTTGTATTCTATCTTTTACCTATAGTTTTTCATTTTTTTCTTTACCTCTGCACTAGTTAAAATCAAAAAATTAGACATGCGAAAAATTAGTTTAAAATTAACAAATTATCAAAAATCAGCCTAGCTGATTAACATACATCAGAAATCAGCTAAGAATCAGCTAAAATTTGATCTATTTTATTTATAACCGATTAACATACTTATTGCTGATTAGTATACATCAAAAATTGGCTAAAATTTGATTTATCTTATTTACAGCTAATTGACATTCAATTTACATTTGATTAGTATACATTAAAAATCAGCTAAAATTCAACCTATCTTATTTATAGCTGATTGATATCTGATTGATAATATATTGAAAATCAATTAAAATATTTCAACATAAAATAACTTCAGAAGAAAATATAACTGATATTTTGTAGGATTAACAGCTAAATAATATTAAAAATATTTAATTTATTTTCACAAATAATATTTTTTATTAATTGAATTAATAGCCAAATATTCTTTTACACTTTACTAAACTGAAATTTGATAGTTAATCAGTACAAATTGATCTAAAATATGATAAACTGGTATTATACAATCATGACTTTTCAGATAAAATTTGTTATCCTATAATTCAACATTACATGTTTCTTTTTCGTTAAAATAATACCATATATTTAGAAAACTTGTAGATTTATATTAATGAATATATATTAGAAAATGTTCAGCCTGTCTGAATGGTAAATTGACCTTATAAGTAAAATAATATTAGATTTGGCTAGGATAACAATTGATTGTACTATCATTTGTAATAAATTTGATCAAAATGTATAAATTTTTTACATGTTACAAAGACATCAACGAATCAAAGATTTTATAACTAATTCAATACCTTCTAAATTGATTCATTTTGATTTGAATTGTTATAATATCTTCTGAATTCTTATCAAATAACTTCCTAAAATCAAACGTAATATAAGTCATATTGTAGTATTCAACTATCAAATTAAGCATTTTGCTTGAAATAATTATATTATCAAATAATAGTTTAAGAAATTCACTAGAAAATGGTTCACTACCAATAACATTTAATTTTTTAATATTTTGTGAATTCATTTAAAATCAGTGGATTTTATCAGAAGAAAATTTGTCTGTATTTGAAAAGGAATCAATTGAAGGCTGATTGTCTAATAATTCAAGCTCTTTTACCTTAACATCATTGAAACTTATAATACTATTAATTTGAATATTAAATATTAATTGATGCATTAGCTCAAATTTGATTTTTCTATTACTATTCAGTAAGAACCTAAAAATCATTCATAAATTAGTAAGCTGATTTATTTAAGAAATTCTCAAAAAAATACCTAATATTTCATTCATACATTCAAAAAAATACTAAAACATATATACAGTCAACTTTTTTTACAACGAATTTTAATATAACAAATTTTACAATACAACAGATTTTCAGTGTCAGACAGATTTTTAAATATAAAAAAACCCTTACTATACTGAATTTAGT